AGAGCTTCCTGAGACAAACAGGAAGCATAGGGTGCCTGAGAAGTGACCAAGATGGTGGCAGTCAGGGAAGGCCTCCCCAAAAAAGTGATGTCTAAGCTGACCTTGGAAAAGGCTCAGGGAAATGTCTGGGCTGGGGACATAGGGGCAGCACTGCTCGGTAACCAGCCCTCAGGCAGATGGCTGAGCTGCCCAGAGCTACCTGGTGTAAGAGGGGGTCATAATTCCCACCTGGGGGTTGGTGTAAGAACCAGGTGAGGCCAGTAAGCAGCCTTTTTCTCCCTTCACCAGGAGCTGGGCAGCGGCTGCCTCCCTTCCCCCAGCCCCTGCAAGTGGAACAATTACCAGATTGAATCGGGCGGGGCCCTGGGAGCCTGGCCAGCTCCCTACTGCCTCTGCGAGTCGGTGCCTCTCATTACCACAATCTCTTGATCCCCAGTCCCTGGGCTCTGAGTGGTGGCCAGATGGCTTAGGAGGCAGTTGCAGGCCTCTAGGCTCCTGGAGCTCTTCTCTGGGGCCCTCATGGGCCTTGAGGGCTCCCAGGAGCACCCACCAAGATTGGAATAGGATAAAAAAAGGTTACCTATTGTTCCCCACCCCCACCATAAATCACAGAGCCAGGAGAAACATTTGAGGTCATCTTTATGGGACCTCCCACTCTATCTGGGTTTAGCATACCGAGGTGGTCATCTAGGCTCCACTTGGACATCTCCCAATACGGGGAGCTCCCTACCACAAACACTGGGGCCACAGCCAAGGGCAAATCAAGAACTTTGATAATTGAACTAAAAAGGTTGGATCACATTACAGTCATGGTCACTCCAAACCAGAACATGGGAGTGGGGGTGTTAAACCAGGTCTGTACCCCAAGAAGCCCTGAGGGAGAGAGAAAACCTCCCAGGGTTCTGAATCTGAAATCCCTCTTCCGGTTTTGACTCTAGAATTTACTAGCCCGGTCCATTTGCCTTCACCTCCCAGAGCTCTGTTTTCCTTATCTGTGACTCACTCAGACCTGGGCATCCACTACAACAGACACTAGGCAGAAGCAGCTAATGAACAATTGAAACGCTGTGAGTGCAATCAAGGAGCTAAATCCTAAATTTTTTAAAATTAATTTTAATTAAAATATAAAACAGGACACAATGTAAAAATTTTACATGGACTATGCTTTGAAGTGGGAATATTTCAGTTCAAGTATTATTAAAATTAATTTTGCAAAAAATGCATTTTACCTGTTCCTTTTTATTTTTATTTTTTCAACGTGACTATTGGAACATTTTAAATGACAACTTTGGCTGGGATTAAGCCTATAGGGCAGCACTGATTTAGCAAGTTATTTAAGGATTGAATGAGGTAGATTAGATGTTCAGGGCTTGAGGAACAGTATATCTTGAGGCAAATTGTGGTTTATGCCTCTGTCAGGTGCTCATGTGTTCTGTAGCACATAAAAGATGCTCATTCTAGAGATTCTAGAAAACATGGACAAAAAAGAAAAACAAAATACAAATTACCTGTGAGCCCACCATCCGAGAAAATTACTATTAACTTTTCTTTCTAGATTTTGTGTGTATACATACATACCATGTCCATATGGACTAAAGCGCCCCCAACCACCACTGTGTCCCAGCTTGTAGATTCTTAGAAAAGTCACTTTAACAGATAACTCTTGGACCTTGAGGAGCCCTGCTCTGGAAAGAGCCTCCTAAAGGACACACTACAGAATTTTCCACCTCCTTTCTTGTTACTGTGATTTCCAGGAGTGGCATGGGTCACACATTGGGATCAGTGCCTTCCTAGTACGTCCCCCTGCTCTTGGCTGCTGCCATTGCCTGCGGTCACATTGTCACCACCGGCAGCTGCCTGGGGAGCAGCCTCTGGATTAGCTCTTGCCAGCAGCTCCCACTCCCCTGGTCCCATTTCTGCTCCCCCTCCCTTCAGCCAGTAGGAAAGCCCTTCCCCTTTGGGGCTGGAGGGAGGGAGGTTACAGAGCAGAACTGCTTGGGTCCCAGGAAATGGGATTCCTTCCATTTTCTCTAGCAGCCCTCTCTCTCCTTTCTAGAGGAATGAGGGACCCACAGGGCTGGGGGTGGAGATCATGTTCTGTCCAGAGCCTATATTTCCTGCCTCCCATAGCTGCTTGTCCCTGTGTTGGCACCATCCCTGTGTAGGGTTATTTTTTCCTCCAGGCCTCTTTACCCCTTTCTGAAGTCTGGTTTTTATCCCTCTACCGCATAATCCCTCAAATATATCTCTCTACATTCTGCCCAGTAAGCTGGAGAGGGCTCACTTACCTCTAGGGCTTCCTGCAGGGCTATAACAAGTTGGTAAATTGCTTTTCTCCATTGCATTAGATTAGGAGCATCTTCTCAGTGATACCATCCATTGTAAAGGCTGCTTAGAACTCTGGACTTGCTGTACCTTTTGATCTAAGTCTTTGCCCTTAAAGGGACCATTCCAGTACCCTTCGGGTACATTTTCCTCTGATATTCTCAAATGTAAGGAGTGTTTAGTTCTCCTCCTCAAACATCCAGCAAATTCTGCTAGATGAATTAAGCTGAAGTGCTGCCAGGCCCTTGCTCCCCACTCTGTGCACCACCTTGGTGGCTCTCAGTGCCCTCTGTCTGACATTCAAGGCCACTCACTCCTGCATTCAGTTGGTCTTTTCTGTCCCATTACCATTCTTCAAATATGACCTGAACTCTGTCCACACTGAACAACACAGTGGCCCCACGCTTTCAGCCTCCCCGTTAACTTCTGTTATCCCCCTTCCCTGGCACATCTGCCCCACCTCCAACTCTTCCTTATCTTCTAAGAACCTCCTCCAAGAAGCCCTTCCTGACTGTCCTAGCTGGAGTTAACCCTCATCCCCTAGAGAGATAGATAGTCCTTCTTGTCTCTTTCCTTGCCATACTGATGTATCCACCTTGTCCTGTGGTTATTTCACGTCCCCTCCTGTCCCAGATTTTTGTCTCCATCCCTACTCACTGCAGGAGTAGAAGCTCCCTAAAGTCAGGAATGGGTGCTGACTTCTCTCTGTGGGCACAGGGCATGACACAGAGTGGCACAAATTTTAAAAAGACAGGTCTGGAGTTGGGGCCCGAGTTCTGATCCACTTGGTCTGATCCTTCTCTCAAGGCCACAGCTTCCCTGAAGCCTGAGGTAGCTGGACTTGACTGTGGAATTCTGTTGGGAGAGAGGACTGCTTGGTTTGGGGTCAATGTGCTGGCTCTGGCCTGGGGTAATCTCCTGGATAATGATTACAGCAGCCCAGCTCCTCCAGCTACACAATCCCATTATGAGCCCTTCAGGATTTATGTCTGAGCCCCACCCTAAGCCCATCACTAACATATGGCATCCTGGCAAAGGAAGATGACAGCAATTCTAAACATTGACTCATTCATTCAATCACTCATTCATTAAGCCACAAGCTACTGGACTAGCCTGGGGCTAGCTCTGGGTGGACTCAGCAGATACCAACCTGGCCTGGAAGGTGCTTCTAGAAAACAGTAATTCAGTGAGGTGGGGACTGTGGGAGCTCAGATAAGGGGTTCCTTTCAGCAGGGTGATCAGGAAAGGCTTCCGGGAGGAGGGACCCTTGCCTCTTTTGTTTTCCCCCCAAACTTTTCCAGTTTATTCTTGTTTGAACATTTAGACAGTTTATTGACTGCTAAGAATAGCCTAGAAAGATCTTATAATTATGTTAAGAAAACTAATAACAACTACTTCTTTTTCTCCACATTTTGTACTGGCGCATTCTAGTTATATATAATGGTGGGATTGTTGTCACATACTAGTCCATGCACACGCTCTGTGTCTTCATATGGCAGGCCAGCCATGTGACAGTGAGCAGGACAGCAGGGCTCAGGCCAGGGAATGGGCCTGTTGTCCTAGCCTTGGCCTGGCACTGGATGCTGCTGCGTGTAGTCTGATAAGAAGAGCGTGGATGGATGGGGAGGGATTATCTGCTCTTGTTGACATGATTAAAACCAGACAAATATTTCCTTTATCTGAGAGAATGAAAGGGCTTTGGGGGAAAAATCCTTTTGGCAGCAAAACAAAGCACAAGCATTTCCTTAATTAATCTCTGTCCCTCCCCCTCCCCACCCTCCCCACACCCCTGCACCAGCCACAGACTCTCTGGGTCTGATCTGCACTAGTGGACAGAGGGGTGAGATGGGGGTGGCTAGCAATGGGGAAGAACTGAGCAGCAAGCGATCCGCAAGCACCCTCCACGTAGCCTTCCACGAGGGAGATCTGGTCTAGGTACCAACCCACGATGGCCCAGACTGGCTCCTCTCTGAGAAGGGGACCACTCTTGTTGTCATTTTGGAGATGGGACTCCTGAGACCCCAACATGGAAGGATGACTTGCTTGCCAGAGGTCAGTAACCCATTGGCAAGACTCTAGCTAGGCCCAGGTCACCGACCAGTGGGCTCACTGGCTTTCTCACTCATTGATTCACTCAGCAAAGCTGAGACTTGGCTAGTGCTGGGGACTGGGGTCTCACAGATAATCAGACCTGTCCCTCTCATATCACTCAATCCAGAGACAGTCAGAGACAGGTCAACAGATGGTGATAACCAGAGTCGTGATAGAGGAGGCTGGGGGGTTGGGAGAGCTCCAGAATGGGCTCCTAACTGTGGGAGAGAGGCAGGTAGTCTAAAAAGACTTTGCTGAAGAGGTGACCCTGAGCCTGGGCTTGCCTGCTGGGTAGGAGTTAGGCCAGAGAAGCTTTTGAGAAGAAGAGTACCACACCAAGGGAACAGCACCGGCAAAGGTGTGAACAGCTGGGCTGCTGACCCTGGGTGTCAAGAGGAGAGCAGAATGGAAAGAGGTTAGCAGGAGCCACAGGACTGGATTACTGAGAAGAGGGTTCCCTGGAGCATGTGGGTGGTTGGAAGCAGAGGGCTGAGCACAGCCAGGAGGGGGCTAGGGTGGTCACACCCGAGTGCCTGCCAGGGAGTGTGTGCCCCCCATAGACCTGACCTACCTCTTCCTCCCAGCTTGATGTCTGGCCTTGCCTCCTTGGATGCCAAGACCTCTAGCCGCCTGGGCATCCTCACCGTGGCATACTACCTATGGACCACCTTCTTGGCCGTTATCGTGGGCATCATCATGGTCTCCATCATCCACCCAGGTGGTGCAGCCCAGAAGGAGATAACTGAGCAGAGTGGGAAGCCTGTCATGAGCTCGGCGGACGCCCTGCTGGACCTCATCCGGTAACTTGCTACTGAAACCCTGCTTAGGAGTGCACACCTGGCCAGGGGTGCCCTGCATGGCCTCCATAGGGCAGACACTGGAGACTACTGGGAGCTGCCCTATTATGTGTGGTAACAAGAAGCAGGCATGGAGGTCCTGCAGAAGCCCTGAGCTCCTGGGACCCTGAAGTCAATGAGCTCTTGCTGCTACCTGCCCCATCAGTCCAGAAGCAGGAGGGCAAGACAGGCCTGTCCCATGCCTGCTTTTTGGTCAGAGCAGGGTCAGTGAGCGCTTGTTGATTGCATAAGCAGCTGTGAGCACCTAACCTATGAGGTTGGAGGCCTGAAGGGATGGGTCTCCTCCTCTTTTCTAACAAAGAAAAGGTCCCCTTTTCACAGATGAAGACATGCAGCTCTAAGAGGTGGAGTGACTTTTCCAGGGGTATCCAGCTGGTAGATTGTAGGACCAGGATTCCATCCAGGCCTGTCTAACTCCCAGGATGATGCTCTTGGCCGCCATTATGGTGCTGCATCAGTTCTGCTGACTGCGTGCCATGGACCTGAGCCCTTGTCCCCAGGAAAGTACTGCAGACTCAGCCATAGAGCCACAAGGGACACCTCCCCACAGACTCCCTGCAGGCAGCCCCTCTCCTGTCCCTCACCCTGCCTTCTAGGAGAGAAAGATCCATAAATAGGTAGAGACTATATCAGGGATGGGTGCTGTGATGGGGTAGGAGCAAAAAGAAGTCTAAAGAAGGGGATGGGGAGGTGGTGGAGAGCAGGGAGGTGGGTGGAGGGCAGTGATGGATGCAGGTCCAGAGATGGGAGGGAATGGTGTGGGAGGGAGGGCCCGCAGCCATCCAGCCTGACTGCAGCATTTGTGTGAGGAGAGACATGGAAGGTGTTGCTGGGCAATTGGGTGGAGGCCCATAAGGGCCCCAGGAAATAGGTTTTAAGCAGAGGAGTGACATGATCCAATTCAGAAGGCTTTGGCGGTGAGAGTGGCTCTGGGTGGGAGCAGGGGTAGGGTGGGAGGAGAAGGTAGATCCAGGGACTGGCCGCTGTGGGATGGGGGATAGGATGGGGACTGTGCAGCAGCTCGGGGGGTAGCATCAGCAGGAGGAAGAAGAAATGGAAGTGAGGCTGGAGGAGGTGGGTGGCGCTGACATGCATGTTTCTGGCCTGATAATCCAAGTGGACAGCAGTGTGGTCACCAAGCCACAGGAAGTGCCAGTGCAGGGACAGACCTCCCAGGGTAGATGCCAGCTGGTGGTTTCAATGGATCTCAATCTTGTGGGAGAGAGTGAGCTTGAGATGGAGGTTTGGAAAGTACCAGGGTAGAGGCAGTAGGTGGCCCTGATGGTGAGTGTCTTTCCCAGGACCATGTGAGTGTGGGCGAGGGACTAGACGGTGCCTGCAGAAGCACACACACCTGGGAATGGCCTGGTGGACTTGACCTGCTACCCTGTTAAACTTGCCCTATGGAGTCCTCCTTGTCCCTCTAATTTTCCAGCCAATTTAGGATATAAGGAGTCTCGGCCTGTCTAATATTAAAACTCCAGACTCATTCAATTTAAAACTAATCCTGTCCTAGCCTTGAGGATCTGATCAAGCTCAGGAAGCTGCAGTGGGAAGAGGATTGTCGGTGTTTCTCTTCTTCTGTCTGCTCCTCTGCTGCCAGCACTGGGGTTGGAGCAGCAAGGAGAGAGGGGAGGCTGGGGGCACTGCAAGATCCTCCCTTACCAGGATGAGTAAGCTGCAGTGGGGCTCCCTGGTTGAGATTCTTCAGGGATATTTTTGTGGGTTCATTGGATCTACATCTTTATATCTCTTCCATCTGTCTGCTTCAAGCACCCTCCTCAGGCCTGATCTCTGCTTAATCCCTCTGCTGTGGTCAACTCACCCCTCTAGGTGATGTTCTTGGGCAGAGTCCCTTCTGTGACTGGCCCATGGGAAAGAATACATATTCTTGTTAGAAGTGCAGATCTTTCCCAGGGCCTTTGGACATGAGTCAGGCACCAGCCCCTACATTCCTCAAACCCTGGGGAACGTGAGCCAAGATCTCTGAATAGTTCTCCTGGCTTCAGTTTAGGGAGAAGCATTCCTCTCATCCCCCATGGGGATATATGCCTAGCACAGCTTCTCTCCCCCTCTTTAAAAAAAACTCTCACCCTCTGTGTCAGTCAGTTATTGCTGTGTAACAAACTACCTAAGATTTTTGTGTTTGAAATGACCACCAGGAGTCTATGCTGATTTGGCTGAGCTCAGTCATGGCCTGCAGGAGGCCAATGGCCCCACTGTGGAATTGGCTGATATGGCTCAGCAGGGCTGCGTGTGGTCTTTACTCTGGCAGGCCAGTCCAGCTTTATTCAGGGTGGCAACAGGATTCCAGGAGAGAGCTTGTCTGGGCATCCTTTTATGCTGAAGGTAGAGGAGAAAGAGAGGAAATAGAAGCTTGTGAGTGTGTTTTCAAGCCTCTGCTTTTGGCAAGTCTATGAGCATCCTCTTGGCCAGAGAAAATCACAAAAGCCCAAACTCAGAGTGGGAGAGGCAATTCTCCCTTCCTTCCCCTGACCCTGGCCACTCTGGCCTCCGCTGTTCCTCCATGTCAAGTGTGCTCCTGTCTTGGTGACATTGGTGCCTCTCTGAATGGCCTTGATGGGGGATCACATAGCCCCTTCCCTCACTCGGTCGATGTCTGTGCTCAGTATCACCTTCAGAAGGTCCTCATGGTCCCTTCCCCACCCCATTCTCTCTCTCCCTCTCTTCTCTTTGCTTTTCATCACAGCCTTCATGACTACAGACACTATCACATCCATGAACTTCTTTATTTCTTCTTCTGTGGCCCCCATTGGAATAAACAGTTATATGCCCCTTGTAGCCAGATCTCTACAAATCTGTTCCCTGCTCTTTCCTGGAGCCTGGAACAGCATAGAGCAGGTACTAGGTGTCTGCTGAATGCATACATGGGACACAGAGTCTTCAGTGGAGTTGGGGTCTGAAGCCCTGGGAGGAGCTGGAATCACCCAGGAGAAACACCCTGTGTGCCGGCCACAGAGGCTCAGGACCAGCCTTGGTGCACAGCCATGCTGGAGGCTGTGGGAGCAAATGGAACACAAGTGGGGACAGGAGGAGATCGAGTGTCCTGGCAGCCAAGGCAGGAAGACTTTGGAGAAGCCTCATTTCTAAGATCCATTATTTCTAGGATCTGGTGCCTATGACTCATCATTTCTTGGATTCTGTGATTCCAAACAGCTTTTCCACGTGATAGAAGAAGTGGTGGGTGCTGGAGCAGACCTCTCCCCCCTTGCACAGCCTACCCTGATCAGGGGCTGCAGAGCTTTGGATCAGACACACGTGTCAAAGTCAAATGTTCCAGAGCTGCTTCTCACATGGTGAAAACTGATCCTTCTGCTTTGAGGCTTTTGCAAACCTGGGTGGTTGGGCATCACCGTCACTATTTCTTGGTCAGAGAGTGGGGCTGCGGGGAGGTGTCACATGCTTTCTGTGGTGGAGTACCAGAACCTGAGAGACCTGCGGTCTCATCTCAGCATTTCCAGCAATAAGCCACTGTGTGACCCTGACCAGGCCAGGCCCTCTCTCCACAGTTCAGTTCCCAGTGATTCTCAAGATGCCTCCGATTCTGTGGTTCTACACACCAAAGCCCACGAGCCAGTGAACAAGCTGCAGAGAATGAGCTGAAGCTTCTGGAAGCAGATTCTAGAGCAACAGGACAGCTCAACCTCCTGGACCTTGCATGTCCCCAGGGTGGGGTTGGCTGTTTGGCCTTAGAAAGGGAAGCTGGGGCTGGAGGGTAGCCTAGCATTCTTGACACCCTGGGTTTGATCCCCAGCACAGCAAAATAAATAAATAAAAAAGGGAGGGAGGAGAAGCTGGTGAGGTTGGGAAGAATGAGCTGGAGAAGGATGGAGTGGACAAAATTTGGTATAGAGATGCCCAGGGAGCAGATGTGGTCACTTACACCCAAAGCAGCTCACCTTTACTAAGAACCGGTTCTGGACAAAGGCATCGTAATAGAAACTGGGTGTGGGGTGGTAAATACAAGGCTCTGCAATAGGACTGTCCCTCATCTATAGATAAGAAGGGTATGAGGGATGCCACTGTCATCCTCTGAGAGGATGTGAGGACAATGGGGACACTGGCAATGAAGGTACCTGGGATCTCCTTCCCTTTGCTCTGGCCCAGAGCAGGTGCCTGCAAATGTTTTTGACTGAACAAGAAAATGTATGACTAGGACAGGGAACTGGGACGTGGTAGCAGATATGACAAATGAAAAGCCAGAAAGATACAGGGGCTGACTACACAGGGGAAAAGAAGCCACACAGCTCACCTCCAGGGGTGCAAAGATTTATGTCCATGTGTCAAGATGATTCCAGAGGAATGCAACAGGCTGTGTCCCTGGATGACCTGCCAAGACATGAATTCATTTCCCAAGGCTCCAAGTGGGGGCTCCAGAAAACTGACGTCTGATCCCTGTGCAGCTTCACAGAAAAAACCCACGCGGAACACTAATCAGAGTTGGCCTCTTATTCTTTCTTTTTCTTATTTTTTTTTTCTTTTTCTTTTTTTCCCCAATCTTATTAAAACACCACAGAGGTTGAGTAATGACTTGGCTTTATAGCTCCTAGTTACCATCTCAGGGACTGAACAAAATTCTCAGAAGCTGTGTTTGAAAAGAAATAATCTCCACCTTTGGGGCCTGGATTGGAGACAAGTGACTGGGGGCTAGTTTGAAACTGTCACAGTGAGAACTCAAATAATAAATGAGGGGGAAGTCTGGAGATGGACCTTGGCCCTGCCCACAGAAATGCACAGGGAGTGTGTGGGTATTTGTAAGCATGGCAATTATCTCCAGGCACATTGTAGCTGCCACCAGGAGCACAGGCCTCACCGGACATGCAGGACCGACTCCCATGGATATTCAAAGCCAAAAGAAAATGTTGTACATTTTCCCCAAATAATAATCCAAAGCAAAATTCTTGATTAAATCTGCAGTTCCCTGATGTTAGTATGAGCAAACATGTCAGTCAGGAACTGCTCCAGGCTGCTAGTTAAGAGAAACCTGCAACAGCAGAGGTTAGGTGATTGATTCCTAGTGGGGGATAAAGCCTTGCATTTTCTCCTAAATGAGTGGTCCAGAGGCGGGCAACTCTCACGCATCAGGATCTCATACTTGGTCATCTGTGTGCACTGCCATGCTTAGCACTTGGCTTTCATCATCAGCATGTCTCATTCGACATTGTGCTGACGTTAAAGGAAGGTTCAAAGGAATGTACATAACAGGTACAAATTCCATTTGTTTTTTCCTGATCTTTCACATGTTCTTTAGTTTCTGCTCAAGCTAAAGCAGACTTACCTTCAAATTTCATTAGAAAACAACCTCTGATTAAGTCACTTGAATCTCCTGGAGCTAAACCTGGGAGAGATTTTCAAACTATTTAACAATCAGTGCACCTGGTCACAGATGCCCAGGGCAGGTGGACCATGTACCCCAGCAGGTTGTACATGCATGCTCCCAGCACTAATGCAGGCACTGTGCTTCTGGTCTGCTTGATGTCAGAAAGATTTTGCAGGCTGCTCCCATACTGGTGGCAGAGATCTGCTTAACTCTCATGGGAAAAAAAAAAATTCTTCAAACCTCTGAGATCCCAGTTCCTGACCTTTGCTTCTTCTCTCCCTTGTGACAAAGCTGAAACTCCTGGGGAATGGGTAAATGATGGTTGGGTCACAACATACCCATGACCAGCCTTCTGCTTTGCTAGCTCCTTCTGACCCTCTTCCTCCAGCCATATATGTACACTGAACCAGAGTCTTGGCAGCAGTGAAAACATGACAGTGACTGTCTCCAGCAATGGCTGCTTGGGAGTAGGATTGAGGAAGTGTGCACACTCACGTCCACGTGTCTAACTCCATGCATGTGTGAACTGAGTCTTGAGAGAGAAGAGATTTGCCAAGAACAAAAGTGAGTGGGAGGGTGATCTAGGAGGAGAGCAGCATGAGTGTGTTGCACATGGACTGTTCCAGCAAGTACAAGCTGGAACAAGAGTCTTTTTAGCATCTCTGATTTCAAATTGATTCCTAGAAGGGGAATTCCTATAAAGACAAGGATTTAAACCCTGGACATGAATTGCTAAACTGCTTTGGAAAGAAAATGTCACTCCCAGATCCACCTGAGGGTGCCCATCTCCCCAGCATGTGGACTTCATTTAAAAAACACATGGTCACTTTCATAGATGGAAATGTCTTTCATGCATTGATAAAGCCAAACATTTTTTAAAAGCATTTTTGCCCAAGTGCATCTCTTTTGGAAAGTAAATTGCCTGGGCCTATCTTCCAATCATTTGCCTGTGGAGGCATTACTGTTTTGAGGGTCCTTTTGTTTGTTTGTCTATGCAGCAAATAGTTGCTGAGTCCCTGATGTGTGCCAGGCCCTCTTCCAGATCCTGGGGACACCACTGGAATCAAAACAGAGGTCTCTGCCCTCCAGGGAGCTGGTACTCTGGTGAGAGGAGACTGGCTGGGAGCACGGGAATAAGGGCAAGATTTGTGAACCTTTTAAATAACGCTTGGTCATCTAGTCTCCCTAGTTGGTTATTTGCCTTATAATCTCATTTGTATTGTAATCCTTCTTATAGACCTACTTTTTTTTTTTTTTAGCTTTTCATTTTGTAAAAAAAAAAAAAAAAAAAATTGCAAAGAAAAGATCCCCTACAACACCCTGGATGTTAGTTAGCATCTTATATAAAAATGGTCCTTTAAAAAAAAAAAAAGAAAGAAAGGTCCTTTAATCAAAACTAAGGAATTAAATGAGTGCAACACCATTAACTAAGTTACAGATCTCATTTGGATTTCATCAGCTTCCATTAATGTCATTTGTTTTTTCTGTTCCAGGATGTAATCCAGGATACCAGAGTACACTTAGGAATTTCTTATTTTTAGTGTAGTAAATTTTTTTCCTCAATTGCTTCATTTGTTTTTAGAGAGTCCTTTCATAATCTGAGACATGATAAAATATTAACTTTTGTTTCTTCTAACTATTTATTCATTAATACTGGGGATTGAACACAGCAGTGTTGAGCTACATCCCTAGTCCTTTTTATTTTTTATTTAAGATAAAGTCTTGCTAAGTTGCCCAGGCCATCCTCAAACTTGAGATCCTCCTGCCTCACCCTCCCAAGTAAGTGGGATTATAGTTGTGCACCACCAATACCTGGTTTTTGGTTTCTTTCTTTCTTTCTTTTTTCCAATTATGTATGTTTTAAAACCATCTGTAATTTATTTTGGTAAAAGGTGTTAAACAAGGATCTAACGTTTATTTTCCCAAATAGTTAGCCAGCAGCAATCCATGATGAGCCCTCCCATTCCTCACTGATTTGTGATGTGAAATGTGAAAGGTCCTGGGTTCTATTTCTGGACTGAGGTTCTGCCACCTTTTTCCTTCCACTGATGGCTGTCTGTGTCACACTGTTTTGACAGTTACTTCTTTAAAGCTGGCAGGACAAGACCGGCTTCATTTTAAGCTTTATAATAAAACATTAATGAAAACACAGTCAACTCTCTGTATCGATGGGTTCCATATCCACAGACTCAACCAATTGAAGGTCAAAACTATTTGGAGGAAAACTGCACTTGTGTCATTTCTCCCCCTTGTCATCATTCCCCAGACAATACAACAACTATTTACACCACATTTAAATCATATTAACTATTATAAGTAACCTAGAGATGCTTTATACAGGAGGATTGTGTAGGTTATAATACTACATCATTTTATACAAGGAACTTGAACAACCTCGGATTTTGACACATGTGGGGCAGTCCTGGGACCAATCCCTATCCCACGGGATGATGTGATTATCCCATGGTTGAGCCAGGTCCTGTGTCAGGCCCCACAGATAGAATGTGAACAACCGAGACTTGCCTTCAAAGAGAGGCAGACAGAGGTAGAGAGTCAGACAGGGCTGGGCAGAGGAAGTGGCGCTTGACTGTGATTGATGGGAGCAGGAGCTGGTCAGGCAGAGAAGCAGGAGGCCATTCCAGGCAGAGGGAACGGCGTGAGCAAGGCCTGGGGCTGGAAAAGTGCAAAGTCTGGTCAGGTTGCTGTGGGTGACGGGGGCAGGGCCAGCCGTGTGGGGAGAGGAGACTGCAGGGAGAGGGGCTGGCTCGTGGAGGGCCTGGGCTGCCAAGGGAGGTCTGAGATGACCCCAAGGTCCTGACCCCAAGGGCTCTCCAGACCTGGGCTCTGCAATTCTTCATTCGCTGACTCTCTTCCCAGGAACATGTTCCCAGCCAACCTGGTGGAAGCCACATTCAAACAGGTGAGCAAGTGGGTCCTTGGGTGATGGAGGGGGAGGCCCTGCCAGCCTCCCAGGCTCCTGAGGAGGCAGGATGCCAGAAGAGAGGTGGGGGGGACCTAGGTCCTCAGACCCTCCATGTCCGTACCCCATGAAGAACAATTACTGGGTGGAGGGGAGCCTGGCTGAGTGCCTGTGAGACCCTCGGTGCACACAGAGGCTCACACACCACCTCACCTTCCTCACAGGAACCCACACTGAGGTCAGATCAGCCCCATTTTCTGGCTGAGGAGACTGAAACTCAGAAGGATTTGATGATTTTGCCCAAGGTTAGGCCACCAGTAGGTGAAAAGCTGCTGGACAGACTCAGGTTCAGCTGGCTGCTAAGTCTTTTGTTTTTTAATATGTATATTTTAATTATACATGGACACAACATCTTTATTTTGTTTATTTATTTTTATGTGGTGCTGAGGATGGAACCCAGGGCCTCACATGTGTGAGGCAAGTGCTCCACCACTGAGCCACACGCCAGCTCTGCTAAGTCTCTTTTCTTCCCCTCCTCCTCCTCCTCCTCCTCCTCTTCTTCTTCTTCTTCTTTTTAATATTTATTTTTTAATTATAGGTGGACACAATGTCTTTATTTTATTTATGTGGTGCTGAGGATCAAACCCAGTGCCTCACACATGCTAGGCGAGCGCTCTCCCTCTGAGCCACAACCCCAGCCCACTTCTTCCTTTTTTTCCTTAAATAATCCTTTTACTCCCTAATAAGAATAGTTATAATATTCACTATAGAAAATTAGGAAAATATTAAATAAAGTAAAAAAAAAATTCTAGATGGTTGACTCATCTAGAAAGGTGTCCTGGCAGTACCAGAAGGAGAGGTAGCAGACAGTATGTTTCTAGTCCATGTACGTATGTGTATATATCTATATCTATATCTATGTCTATCTATCTATCTATCTATCTATATTTTTTAATTAAATAAGGATTGTAGTACATGCACGGTTTATATCCTGTTCCCCCCACCCTCTTTCATCATACATGAGTATTTTCCCTGGCTATTAACTGATCCTTAAAAGCACAACACTGAGTGGTAATATAGGAGCCATGGGAAGGCTGGACTGTCATTTACTGACCCATGCCCCTTTCAGTGTTCCTTTAGGTTGCTTTCAAAGTTTTGCCTCTTTTAGAAATTGTGGTAAACTTCTTTGCACCTCTGTCTTTGTCTGCACTTTTAACAGCTCTCCTCTCCTTCCTCATGTCAGCTGTTTGGTTGACTCAACCCAGCAGGTGTGTCCTGAGCCCCTTCCTGGGGCTGGGCCCTGTGTTGGGCTGGGGACACAAAGGAGATGGCTGAGGGTTGGGAAGGGAGCTCCAAATGAGGAGCTTGCATAAGCCACTAATATCTTGGGTCTTTGCCTTCAGAATTAGCCAGGTTATGCAGGGTCTCGCTGCCAACTATGGTAGGAAATTATTAAAGGTAACAGAGAAAGAGAATATCACTCTACCTTATGCCTTCTTGGAGTAATCTTTTTCTTTTAACAAACCCCTACTCATCCTTCAAGACTTAAACCAAAAAGTCCCTTCTCTGTAAGGCAGTCTGACTCCTCCAGGCAGAGCTAGTCATACTAGTCACTCCCTCTCCCAAACTCTCAGGGCAGAACTCGTATTTGGTTCATTTTTGTATCTCAGCACCCAGCACAGAGTGTTCAGCCTTGGGTGCTGTTTTCACTGCTGCTGAGGGAAACAGTAAAGTGTACATTGGCCTTGCCATGTGCCCAGAACTGCTGTTGACACTATATATGTGTGTACAGTTTTGTTTACCAGCAAGATAGATGCTGTTATGATTCCATTTTACAAATGAGGAAAAAGGAAGCTCAGAGACCTAGGTCCCATATATTTCCTGCCTGGTTCTTTTTACCCCATCTTATTGATACTGTGATGTTCAGGAGGGTGAGGGCTTCCCTGTTTGGGTTCCCAGCCCCTGAGACCTAAGGGGGAGAGATCCAGGAATGCTCTAGGGACAGAGGAGGACCAGAGGCAGGCTGAAGGAGAGTGGAGCTGTCTCGGAGGGAAGCCCCCACTCCCACCAGATGGGAAGCAGGCTGGCTGGTGGGTAGGTGGATGGCTACTGTGGGGAGACGTATCTCAGTAGATGGACAGAGGGTTAGATAGGGAACCAGGTGGGGTTCTGATGCATATCGGAAGAGGCGGGAAAGCTGGAGGAAGACACTCCAGGTAGTGAATGAATGAAGGAATCTCAGTTTCTTTTGGATAAAGTATTAATAATAACCCCCGCCCTGCCTACCTCACAAGGCTACTGTCGATTGGATAGGATATAAGGAGATGCAAATGTGCTTTTGAGACATTCTTCTTGTTGTTAATATCATAACACTGGGTCCTGACTTCTTCCTGGCTGGAATGTCACCCACCAGTACCGCACCAAGACCACTCCAGTTATCAAGTCCCCCAAGGTGGCCTCAGAGGAAGCCTCTCCTCGGAGAATCCTCATCTATGGAGTCCAGGAAGAGAATGGCTCTCGTGTGCAGAACTTCGCCCTGGACCTGACCCCGGCACCTGAGGTGGTTTACAAGTCAGAGCCAGGCACCAGCGATGGCATGAATGTGCTGGGCATCGTCATCTTCTCTGCCACCATGGGTATGTGCTACCTGCCCACCCCCACAGTGCCCAGCAGCCGTCCCCTCCCGGCATCCTGCCATCCAGCTCTCTAAGTAACCTGGAACCCTCTAGCCCTCCAGGCCCTTCCTCCTTTTCCTAGGCAACAGAGTGGCTCGAGCCCCCATTCCTTCACTGAGGGTATCCACCTCCCCACCCCCACAGCGAGCCAGGGGGTCCTCGCTCAGAATCCCTATCCCTGAGGTCTGATTTTCTTCCAGGGACACTGGCTCTCCCTCTTCTTTTGTGTCCCCAGTCCCTGCCAGAAGCCTGTCCCTCGACTTTTCACAAGGCTTGGAAAGGATGGGGAGGGGTGCCACTGTTTACTTAAGGTCTATCACCCCACCCCCACCCCCAGGGCTTCTCACTGGCCACTTCTCTCTTCAGAGCCATTTCTTGTCTGTGCCATTTCTTAGGCTCCATAGTGTCCTCCCTGACCACACCCTTCCCCAGCTACTCTTCTCTGGGTCCCCAAAGACCCCCTAATCACCATGAAGCCATAAAGTTCAAGGCTCAGGACCCCTCATTTGTATAGGAGCCTTCCGAGGCCTAGACCTTTTTATTTTTAAATTTCTTGTACTTAAGAGAGCCCCTAAGCTGTATAGCTTCAGTCTCCACAAAAACCTATGGCTGTGCCTCTGCCTGTGGTGCCCCCACAATACCCTTTTCCTTCTTAGGACAACTCCCAATCCTTCAGCACTGACCTGCACTGTGGGGCCTGGGGCAGCCATCTCCTGCTCCCCATGGCTCCACCAGGGTTTCTTCTCAAGTAACCAGCCTCCTTATCCTCCTGGCTGCTCATGCAAGACATCTGGGCTCACTTTCTCCCCCACTTCTGCCTTAGCCCCATGGTCAAATCCTGTCAGGTCTGCCTCTGGATTCTCCCTCTATTCATAATTTTCCCTTTCCCACCACCACCACCCTGATCCAAGGGCCACCTGGTTCCTGCAAATGCTGCCTAAAGAATCCCCCACACCCTCCTCTCTTGTCCCTTCTTGGTGTGACCTCCTCAGAGGGTCACAAAGCTGGACATGCTCTACACTTAGAAAGAAGCCAAGCCAGCTGCAGAGCTCCCTATGACCTGGTCTTTGGGCTCAGTCAACCTGTTGGAGAGATGAGTGACAGATGGCCAAACGAATGGACGATGACAGACAAGGCTCTGATCATCTGGGCCAAAACGTCTGGCATGTGAAGGGGCCAGGACAGGCTGGTGAGCGTGGGGCAGGCTGGTGCTGGAAGGACCCTTCAGCATCCCTGGCACTCAGTCCTCAGTCCTGGACATTCTTCCTTTCCCCTCCTGGAGTCTCTCTTAGGGAAGGGGACATGGAAGAAGGAATCTATTAGCAAAGCCAAAAAAAACCCCTTGGGACTCCAGTCACCTGGTAATTACCGAACAGGTGTAACTATCCACATATCAACGTTTGTGTGTGTGTATCAAGTCAGTGTGAATCAGCGTTAGTGTGTGCCCACCTCTGTCTATGCCCACATCTGCTGGTGCCCGTGTTTGTCAGTGCTAATATTGTGCTCTGAACAGGTTTTCTTTGACTCCTCAATTGAGCCTTCTTTCTCTGACCCTCCCTAGTGCTGGGATGTAGCTAGTGCTGAGGTCTCCTTGGCCTTGCCTGCAGGGGCGCCCCACCGCCACACCCCCAGATCCCTGCACACTAGCTCCCATCCAGCCAGAGTCCTTGGATTCCCCCAGAGAAATCCAGGTGGAGGCTGGGAGGGGCAAGAGTAGCCTGGGGAGGGATGGAGCTGGCAGAAGGAACCTGGGTCCACATCAGCCACGCTGTGACAGGCCAGCTGGGCAGGGCTAGGCCCTGTGTCACCTCCAATTCTAGCCTCTCCTGTCCAACCAGACAGGGCCCCTTTTTCACCCCATCACCACAGGGCAGCTGCTCTGTGGACTATAGGGAAAGAGTCCCACAGGCCAGGAGGGGAATGCCACCCTGTCCCCCACTGGCTGAGCCAGTCACTGAGCTCTGAGCATGTGACATGAGCTTCCCCAGGGCAGCCTGGGAGTGTGCTCTGTGACCCATCTTGGTCTTGCCAGGAGAGCAGCCATCAGCCACCTTTTCAAGACGGGCATGGTGGTGCCCAGTGTCATGGATCTGACCCCATGGTACAGTCTGCACCTGTGTGATTTCCAAGTATGTTTCGAGCACTGAAGGGAAACCCAGAATACCCCAGGGGCACTGGGGCTTCAGGGATGGCTTCAGCATCAGTCATTCAGTAGTTTTTGTCAGGTGTCTCCTGTGAGCCAGCTGAGAAGCCAGTTCTCACCCCCATGGAGCTAACCGACCAGAAGGGACAAGGAGAAAAAGCAGACAAATGGGGAAAAAGTTATCAGTTGTAATAAGCAACATAAAGAACACAGCAAGAGAGGGGAATAATTTGGGAGTTGGCCCAGGGGAGTGGGGAGGGGCTTCTAGGCTATAGGAAGTACTCAGGCCTTGGAAAGGGATGATCAAAGGCCCTGAGGCAGAGCAGACCTTCATGTATTCTAGAAGCCTGAGGAAGGCCAGCAAGGCGGGGGACAGTGAGGAAGGGAAGAGCAGGGCGGGCGGAGGAGGGTGGCACAGCAGGGTCAGATATGGAGTGGAAGTTGTGGGAACCTGGTTATGGTCTAAGTGCGGGGACAGGGATGTCAAGGGTGTTTGGCAGGAGCATTTTTATCTTGAGGGGATGCCATCTGCCATGTGGAGACAGGTTAGAGAGGAGTGAGACCGGGGGGGGGGGGGGGGGGGGGGGCCGGGGGGGGGGGCCAGAGGGGGGGGGGGGGTGGGGGCGGGGGGGGCGGGTCAAAGACTGCGGGGGAGGCAGCCAGGGCTGGGACATGTGTGTGTGTGTGTGTGTGTACATGCGTGCACCACTGACATGCCTGTGCCCTGGCTGGCACACTTGTGATATGCTGTGTGTCCCCACAGGCATCATGCTGGGCCGCATGGGTGACAGCGGGGCCCCACTGGTCAGCTTTTGCCAGTGCCTCAATGAGTCTGTCATGAAGATCGTGGCTTTGGCTGTGTGGTAAGCTTCCTCCAGGGAGGGTCCTCTTCAACCTGCCCCCTAACCCTCTCCAGTCCTGGGCAGATGGAGGGTCACCACAGTCCATCCCATCCTGTGGTCTCTTAGAGCACAGCAGAGGCTACACGGGAGGCTCAGCCTCCAGAGCTAATCAACTAGGCCTGGACCCCCAGCTCTGACCAGGCCTGGTTCCAGCCCTGGGCGTGCTACTTCTGGCATGGCATGGAGGAGAGCTAGCCTGGCTCTGCTGCTCACCTCAGTTTCCCTCACCCTGGAGCCTCCTTAGCTCTGCTTTTTGAGAGAGAACACACTGGAAGTGAGAACCAGCTGCCAATCCTTGGTTCAGAATTCAGATATTAGGAATCCTATAGTGAGAGGGGAAATGCAGAGGCCTGCCCACCGTCCCCCAAGGAGCTGTACCATTGCTGGGGCTGAAATGGGGGCTTCCTGAGGGCAGGGATACTTCTCAGAGGCAAGAGCTTGCCCAGGGTGGGGTGGTTGAGGGAAAGGGCACTAGGGATGCCGGGAGCCTGATCCTAGGCTGGGTCTCATTCAGTCACCTGTGAGCCCTGGCAGGCTCACAGATCAGGGCACACAGTGACATGGTGCCTGGCCGGGATGGGCCTGCCTGCCTGAACCCAGGGCTGCCCACCCCCAGGTACTTCCCCTTTGGCATTGTGTTCCTCATCGCTGGCAAGATCCTGGAGATGGATGACCCCAAGGCTGTTAGGAAGAAGCTGGGTTTCTACGCCATCACTGTGGTATGCGGGCTCGTGGTCCACGGCCTCTTCATCCTGCCCCTGCTCTACTTCCTCATCACCAAGAAGAACCCCATCGTCTTCATCCGTGGTGTCCTCCAGGCCCTGCTCATCGCACTAGCCACCTCCTCCAGGTAGCCACACGGAATGAGCAGGGCAGGGTGGGGTGGATGGAATACATCTCCGTCCATCTGTCCAGCCATCATTTGTCTACAGCTACAGAATCATAGAAAGTGCTAGTATGGCCCACTTCACAACCTAGGGATGGCAATGGTGCTGCGGTATCAAGACCCAGTATAGAGATTTTATGGTTGAGGCGCCACCGAATCACTCTTGTGGCCTTCCCCTGCCCACGGTCTCTAACACTCTCTCGATGCAAATGGGGGTTGCTTCCACATCTCAGGGGAGAAAGAGCTGTAAAGTCTGAAGAAAATCACCAGTGGCTTACCAGTCCCCGGGTACTTCTGCCGGAGTCAGGCCCCACACTGTCCTATGGGCTCTGCCTGTCCACTGTTGCTGGGATGTCCTGGCTGGATGTCCTGCTTCAACCTTGGCAGTGAGGCTAGGCAGGAGGATTCAAATCACGGTCCCCTCTCACACTGGCTGGTGGTGGGCTGCCCCTTGACCTCTCTGGGCCTCAGTGTCCTCATACTTCTCAGAGGCAAGAGCTTGCCCAGGGTGGGGTGGTTGAGGGAAAGGGCACTCGGGATGCCGGGAGCCTGATCCTAGGCTGGGTCTCATTCAGTCACCTGTGAGATCATTTGAGCCTCTCCCTCCCAGGGCTGGTGTGGAGAGTGAGATAATCCACTCAGGGGCTGGCAAGTGCGGGGGACCCCAGGGAGAGAGAGCTGTGCAACCCAGGCTGCTGGGCAAGGAGTTGGAAGGTGACAGCCACTGCTGAGCCACTTACCCTGTAAAAAAGGGCATGCTCCCCACAGCACGTGTCCATGCCCTCCATGGAGGAAGCACAGGACCAAGCCCATCTTCCTGTCCCAAAGGCCTCACTCTTCTCTGGAGCCCTTGCTGTCTTCTCTTCCTCAGGCCTCAGCTCCTCAATCTGCAAGAAGCCCACAGGCCTCTTTCCCTGGCAGACACACAACCCCAACCCTGGACGAAGCACCTCCTACAGACTCAGTGCCAAGCACTCTTCTGAGCCCCAAGTGACTTGATCCTCCCAATAGTTCTGAGCTCTGAGTATTGGGTGGGAGAAGGAAACCAAGGCACCCAGGTTGAGGCACTCGCCAGGGCCCTGGCAGGAGGCTGACTCCGGGCCCAAAGTCTGGCGCAGAGCCTGTATGGTTCGCCACTTCAGAATCTCTAGGCCCAGCAGTGTGGCATTGCACCAGCCCTCCTCCTCGCAGGCCCAGGAGGAAGCAAGTAAGAGGAGGGTGGGTGCCTTGGTGCAGTAGGTGCCCTGTTGTGGTGGCTCCTCCTCTTGTCCCAAGGAGGCCCCACATGGGTGCCTGCACACACCTGTCAGGGCACCTGTTCTCCCCTCTCATGAACTGCCTGTCTTTGCCCCTGGAGAAGGGCAGTGGGCAGACTCTGGCCCCTCTGCCCGTAGCTCAGCCACACTGCCCATCACCTTCAAGTGCCTGCTGGAGAACAACCACATCGACCGGCGCATTGCCCGCTTTGTGCTGCCTGTAGGCGCCACCATCAACATGGACGGCACTGCGCTCTACGAGGCCGTGGCTGCCATCTTCATTGCCCAGGTCAACAACTACGAGCTGGACTTTGGCCAGATCATCACCATCAGGTGCGTCCTGACACCCACACCCTGGAGGGGTCTCTGAGGTCAGCAAGAGTGAAGGACTCACACCAAGCCACACAGCAAGTCGGCACTGGCTCTGGGAGTGAGCTGGTCTCTGGGACTCAGGGTGCCCGAGCGTGGCAAGGAAGAGGGCCTGGGCCTAGACAGGAAGGAGGGGCGGACACTGCAGGTGGGCCAGGGACAGGACTGAGCACTGGTGTAGCTGGAGCCAAGGGCAGGCACTGGGTGGGGCAGGCCTTACCCTAGAGACCAGACGCCACAGCAAAGCTGGGCAGAGCTATGCTGGTGGAGGATCAGAACCTGTGGGTAGTTCTGGAACCTACAGAATCTGTGCAGGGCCACACCCTGGTTTCCACACTTGCCTCAGATTGGACCCTGGGTCATAGGACCATGAGCAGGGACATGAGAACAACCTAATGTGGCATTCCTAGCAACCTTGGCCCCACGTGGCTGTCTCAGAGGCCCAGCCTTCTGGCCTCCTTCTTGGAACTAGGGCCCAGACATGAGCCCCCCATCTCCACCTACTGCTCCTCCTCTTCCTCTCGCCGCTCCCCCTGCAGTATCACAGCCACTGCAGCCAGCATCGGGGCAGCTGGCATCCCCCAGGCTGGGCTTGTCACCATGGTCATCGTGCTTACCTCTGTGGGACTGCCCACCGACGACATCAACCTCATCATCGCTGTGGACTGGGCTCTGTGAGTTCACCCAACCCCAGTCCCACCCCTTGGCAAGGGCAGCAGGCAGCAGGACAGGGAGCCAAGTCCCTTCCCCAGGGCAGAGAGCCAGGGAGCTGCCGTGCTCAGCACAGTAGGAGTGCCTTACTCGCCTGCAGGCTGGCTGCATAATTTGGGAGGAGGGGGCAGAGTTCAAACATGAAAACAGGAGGCCCCTTGTTCAAAAATTATCAAGAACTTCAAGAGAATGACTGCAGAGCATTAAGCTAAGTTGGGCCCACCTAAGCACCGGGTCCTGTGCAGCACACAGCCACGTGCCCAGGAGCCACCCTGCACCAACTCACTTCAACACCCACAAGGAGCGGGCTTGGGCACTCTGCCCTGCCTCCTGGCACTGCCTGGGCCACTGCTGCAGTGGCCTTATGCCTATGAATTAAACATGGTCCTTCTCCAGCTCCCCTCAAGACGCCCACCACTAACCGCCCACCTTGGTTTCCCAGGGACCGATTCCGTACCATGATTAACGTGCTGGGTGATGCATTGGCTGCAGGGATCATGGCCCACATCTGCCGGAAGGACTTTGCTCGGGATACAGGCACCGAGGTGAGAACAGAGACCACTAGCAGGGTGAAGCTGGGAGGGGCGGGCAGAGCAACAGGCCTTCCAGCTGGGCAGCCTTCAAGCAGTCTCCCCTTGTCTCTGAGCTTTGGTCTCCTTGTCTGTTACAGAGGGTGACTAATTCCTCTACCATTTATTTATTGAGCACCTGCCAGGGCCAACACTGATCTAGACAGAAGACAGACAGTGGGAATAGAATATAACAACCCCTGCCCTGGGAGACTCACACCCCAGGGCAGGATGGGGCTGTCCTGCTCAACGACTCCGACACCTGTGGGCTTGTGTGGGGCTGCAGGGTCTTCAGGGCTCCTTAACGCATGTGTGCTATAGGCAGCTTGGGAACTGGTGTCCAGTGACCTGCTTGGTCCACTCATGTCTGTAGAAAAGTCCCCATCACGGTCCTCAGCCCTGTGTTTGCACTGTTCCACCCACCCTCAGACCCTCCTGCTGATACCAGGCCTCTTTCCCTCCCCCAGAAACTGCTACCCTGCGAGACCAAGCCCATGAGCCTCCAGGAGATTGTGGCAACCCAGCAGAATGGCTGTGTGAAGAGTGTGGCTGAGCCCTCCGAGCTGACCTTGGGTCCTGCCTGCCCCCACCATGTCCCTGTACAGGTGGAGCAGGATGAGGAGCCAGCCATCACCAGTCTGGACCATTGCACCATTGAGATCAGTGAGCTTGAGACTAATGTCTGAGCATGCAGGGGCTGCAGGGACCAGGCAAGGCCCCTGGGGCCAGGAGCCAGGAGCAGGATCTTAACTCACAGCTCACAGGGAACATGCTCACACATTCTTCCCCTTGCTGAGGGGCTGGAATTGGCTCTATGGGTGGAAAATGGGGTCTTCAAAAGGGAAGGTACCTACAGGAACCCCAGTCAGAGAGCAATGGCCTGCAAAGCCCAAGCCCTAGCTGTGACCACTTCTGCCCTGAAAGAGCACCAGGCAGGGGTTATTGTCCCCACATTCTGGATGACAGGTTTGAGGCTTTGAGAGCTGAAAACACTTGCTCAAGATCTAAAACAAGCAATATTAGCGCCAAGATGCTAACTTAAGTCTTTCGGGGCTTGGCCACCACCTCTTGAAGGAGAGGGTGGCCCGCTTCCAATATATGAAGACAAAATAACAATGTCCTGGTTTCTGCCCCAGCTGTGTCCAGGTCCAGGCCAGCCTCCTACCCCACCCTAGAGCATGTGGCCTCAGTTAATCGGCTCTCCTCAATGGCGGGCCCAACTGCCTTCCACGGGCCACAGCCTGCCCTGTCTCTGCCCACATGTCGCAAAAAGCTCATCTGATATGGAGACAGATGTCTTCAGCAGGGTTGGAAGGCCTTGTGGACACATCCAGGCCAGCCTCCCATGGGATGGGTGGGCCAGGCCAGGCCTCGGGAAGGGAAGTGCTTGGGCCGAGGTGCCAGTGGCTCCCTTGGGTCAGAACTCCACAAAGGCCTATGTGGGAAAGTGGAGTCAGAGTTCATACCCTTTCTGTGTTTGTAAATTCAGTGATAACTAAATAAAGATATTTGGTTTTTCAAGTCCTATGGCTTAGAGAACACATTCTGAGCAGCACTTCTTTGTTGGCCTAACACAGGTTATCAGAATGCAGGTAGCCTGTGTTATCTGGTGGCCAGAGTGCAAACAGGCCTGTCTGAGCTGTCACATGCAGAAAACGGTGCAAATCAGCCTCCCCAGGGGGCCTACCTCAATAGGCCTGTCTGTGGCTGGGCCTTGTTCAGGGATCTACAGTGCAGACAGACCTCTCTACCCTGACTGAAGGCAGGGCAATGAGATCAACGAGATCAGTCCCTATTATTCCCTTTGGTGAATGCTTTGCCTTAGAGAGGGGACATGCTTGAGGACACTTCTAGAGAGTTCCTCATTCTCTTGTCACAGGGTGATTCCAGGAGACCTGCAGGGCACACTAAAGGGCCCTGGCCACATAACCTGTTGTAGATGTGTGACAGGGAGAAGATACGGCTCTGTGGTCTACGAAGGTCTTATACCGGGATGCTCACAAAGACACTGAGATCCAGAAAGGGGATTAAATTGCCCAAGGTCACCTGGAGAGTTGGGAGGGCTCCTGCTTCCACCCCAACTCCTGAACTACTTCTATTCTTCTCCCAGGGTCACAGCTGGAGGAGGAAGGGCCTCCACCCTAGAACTCTTCCCACTGCAGGGCTAGAGGTTTAGGGCCACCATCCTCTATCAGACCCTAGCCACCTAGGAGAAGTCAGATGTCAAGCTGTTGGTCACTCCTACCTTCATGTGGACAGGGTTATTTGCCCCTTCCCTGGATCACATTTCTAAGACCCTTTGAGTAATGGAGTCTACCCCCACCCGCAAGGCAGGAGTCTGCTCTTTAGCAAGCTTGATAGAAATGTATGTACACACCTCTAGAAGCAGGGAGATCACTACTTCCTGGGCATCTAAATCCACTGAGTGGGTAGCACTGCCTGTCAGAAGTTTTCTTTGCTCATAGCTGAATGTCACCTCTCTGCAGCTTCCCACTGTGGGCCTAACTCTGTCCCCATGGGAAGGCATGTCTATTACCTCTTCCCTGGGAAGGTCTGCAGAGACCAGGCCCCCAAGTCAGGTTTACTCCCATTCCTAGGCTTGCGTCCTATTCCCTTCCCACCTCTGTGGGACTGACCCCATCAATAACAGCCCCTCAGTATAAAGGCAACCCTCCAGGTGAGCCCTGAGTAGCCCGAAGCCCAACAGGTCCTTTGCTTGAAGTTCAGCTCCTGAGAATGCAGAGCAGGCAGTGTGGGCCTACCTGCTGATTCCCACCCAGCTGTGTCTGCACACACCTCCCCAGGCCTCTTCACCTACCTCTAAGCCCATCTCTCTGGCTCTCTGCCTGTGTGACTCCTTTGGGAGCCCCGAAAGTTCAGAGACCTGAACTTTGCCCTGATTCCTTCTGGTCTGGCCAAAGTGCAGATTTGCATGTAGGCTGCCAACCCTACGCTGACGCCAGCCCAGCCCATGGCTGGAAGCACACAGACGTAGACACGGCTGCAAGGACAGGGATAATGCTTTTATATTAGATTTTCTGTAACAAGAAAAATCAACTTTGAGATTTTTATCATTTTTTTCCTTAAAAAAACAACACCCAAAGCACCCAGAACTTCCCTGCAGGCCCAAAGATTCAAGAGTGTCTCAGAGGCACAGCTGGGCCTTTTCTGGATCCTCCGGGCCTTGCCTCCCTCCTGCCCCAAAGCTCCCTCAGTGGGGCTTGTCTATCAGAAAGTGCCTGTGGCCTGACAGGGCAAGGCAGGATGGGGCTCTCAGCAGGGTGACTGCTCTAGCACCTGGGGGGCAGGGGCAGAGCCAGGGCAGAAGTCCAAAAGGTTCCTGTCCCCAAAGGGAGGAATAGGAACAAAAGCCAGCTTTTGTGAGTTCCCCACCACGGAGCAAGGAGCTGAGCTGTGTCTTCTCCAGGGGACTGAAGGACAGAGGACGGGGCAGATGGCAAGTGACTGACATGTATATTTGCTCGTGTGTGTGTGTGTGTGTGTGTGTGTGTGTGTCAACAGGAGGGAGTGGGCTCTCTTGTGGGCCAGATCCTTCCCCAAATCTGCATGACTCAGGGAGCAGGCAAGGCAGCAGTGGCGGGCCTGGGCAGAGTGGGATGGTTTGGAGGGTGATGTGCAGCAGCTGGCTGTGTGTGTGGCCGAGCTGTGTGTGGGGGTGTGACGTGGTGTCTGCACGTGTCTGGTTGTGAGGCACACTGCAGGAAAGGGCAGGGATATGAGACTGCATTTAGCCTGTGGTGTGAGGGATGCCCCGTGGTTTAGCGCTGGCTGTGTCCATGTGACCGTGGCAGATGGGGGCTCACAGGGCACAGGCATGTGCTGCAGAAAGGAGTCCGGTGGTCCATCGTCCTGCAGAACATGTAGGAGAGGTCAGGGGCCAGCCCAGGACAGAGCTACCAGCCACAACCAGCCTGGGAGAGATGGACTAGAGGTTAGGTTAGATGACCCTGATTGAGAGGTCTCTGGGTAGGCCAGGCTCCTCTGAATGAGGAGGGGGAGTCACCCTGGAAGCCTGGAGCCAGAGGGAAGTGTCCAGGCCAATGTGGGCAGGAGAGCCTTTGGGTCCCATTGGCCACTCCCTAAGATTTTTCCCAGGGTCGTCCTAAAATGCTGACTATGTCCAATGTCCTCTAAAGGGGACAATCCCCTACTTCAGGATTGCACAACCCTCCTTATGAGGGCCATGAAGTCCTCACTGAATGGCCAGTCACCCCTGTTGCTGACTGCTGGCTCCACATGAAGACAGTGCTTCAGGAGAAGGGTTTCCAAAAGTAGGGCCAGGGACTCTGGGGCACTGGCTCTGGGTCTGCACCTTCACATTCAGACAGCCCTGCCAGCCCTGCTTCTATCAATGGGGACCCAACCCTTTCTCCACTCCTTCTGTCTACCCCCTGGGCTGAAGCCATCCATCAACAGCCCTGCAGGCTCCTCTCTGCTCCAGACCCTGCTTCAGGTCAACATCCTTAAGTGGCCCAGCAGCTCCCACCCATGTCCACACCCTGGCCCTGTGACCCCCCGCATGACTCACTCCCAACTCTTAACTAACCTCTGACATCTCCCTGACTACCTGCCTCTCCTTCTAACCACCCACTGTCACTGTGCCCAAGCTCTAACACCCTCCCCAGTGTCTATGCATAATGATTCCTCCGGTCTCTACTGCCTTCCCTACCTAGGCTGGCCCTCAGGACCCATGACTTCAGTCATCCTCCTGTTAATATACTCTGTTTCCTTGTTCCCTGTCCTCTTGGTCCCATACCCTTGGTCAAAACCCAGCCATGGATGATCCAACTGTCCCTCTTCTCTGTGCCCCATGGTCAGCTAAGCACCCCCTACTGCATGGAGAAGGTGAAAGGCTGAAATCATTGGCTGATGTGACTTCAGATCCAGCCACCACTATCAGCCTGCCTGTGACTGCAACCATTTGGGCCTCCAGCCACGGTAGAGAAAGCCTGGCCTCCTGTGGCTCACAGTGCTTTACACTCACTCTCCTCAGCACCACACCCCTCATGGCCACCACCAGCAGCCAAACCAGCTTCATCCCTAAAGGAGCAGCAAATGAAATGAGCCCTTCCTGAGCTCACATGCGCCCACTACTGCCCCTGCATCTCTTCAAACCAGACGTCCTGAGGGTATCTACACTCCTGGATCCACTTCTTCACTCCCATTTTTCCCTGTAGTCACTTGCTACAAAGTCATAGATGACTCCATGTGGACAAGTCCAGTAGCTCCTTCAGCCTCTCGGCAGTACTGACCCGGCTGGGTACCCCACTTCTGGAGAAGCCTGTCTGTATGAATCATGCATACATATGTGTGTCTACATGCAAGGGCCTGAGTGTGAGGGTACATGTGTGTGCTCACATGCAGGCACACTTGTGAGTGCTATTACTACATGGCCTGTGCCTATGAACGTGTCATGGAATATGTGTGTTTCTGTATGCACATGAATGGCATGCATGTTGTGTGTGTGCTTTGTGAATGTGTGTACATGCTTAGACATGGGTGTGTCCATTGGTATATGTATGCTGAGATACAGGTATGTGTTTGTGTGCATGTGCATGGGTGCAGGTACCTGTGTTACACGTGTGTGCAAAACCCAGCCATGGATGATCCAACTGTCCATCTTCTCCATGCCCCATGGTCAGCTAAGCACCCCCACCCCTGTGCTTGCTAGTCTGTGGTTTCCAACTCCTCTCCTGACTGCTCCATCTCAGCCTCCTCTGCACACCCCCTACTTGCTCACCCTAGGCAAGACCTCAGCCATCTGCAGCTGCAGTGCCTGTCTCAAAGCTGAAAATGCCTGGATCCCCATCTCCAGCCTAGACCTCATTCCCAAGCCTCAGGCCCTATGTCCAGTCTATTCCTGGGCTGCTGCCATCACAGTGCCGATCACTTTGGACTAGAATCCCCTGGCACTGACTGGTCTCCTTGGCTTGATGTCATACCCCAACCCAGGGCCTGCTGCATCCCTATCTGCAAAATGAGCATGTAGGTTTGCAAAATGAAGGGATGAAACAGAGGCCAGAGAATGAAGAATGGACAGAGACAGCATAGACTGGGGTAGGAACAGGAAAGCAAGGTGAAGAGAGGCCACCTACCTAGGCCAGAGCTGTGTCATCCTGTCCCTATCTCCTGTCCTCTTCCTCCTCATCCTCCTCCTCTTCCTCCTCTTCCTCCTCCTCTTCTTCCTTCTCCAAGTGGCCACGGTTCTTGGAAACGTCACCAAACTCAAAGTTGCCTTCGATGTCCAAGACCTGTAGGTGCTTCAGCCTCCGGAAAGCACTTTCCACCACAGAGCCCACAGCCAGCTTGTTAAACCTAGGAAGTCATCCACACGGGGGTCAGCGTAGGTGCCCAGCTCTGGGGTCCCTCCCCACTATTTACCTTGGAAGGTAAAAGATGTATCATTTCCAGGAGATGATACATTAGTTGAAAAGGCCTGGGGTGGAGAAGCATGGTGCACTGTGGGAAGTCTCAGTTGTTCAGGGTAACAATGGCTTGGGGACAGGGAATGGCATTGGGCTGGTCATCCATAAAGCAAGAATTCTCCCTCTGCACACATGTTCACTACGACTTTGGGAGTGGAAGACCTGGGAATGGCTCTCTGCCTGCTCTCCTGCACTAACCCCAAAGCCTGAGCTGACACACAGGCAAACCATTGCTGAAGTGAGCCAGAGACACTCTCAGGCCATGGGAAGGCTGAGACTCTGATCTCAGGCCCCCCTACTCTCTGCACCTCAGCTTCACTGTAGAAGCCTGAACATATGTCACTCCACCTAATGTCACCAAGCTCTTGGCTTTCTGCTCTACTCTCTTCTGTTTCAAATCTGATTTGAGGGTTGGGATTGGGGTGTGGGGGGTGTTGGGAAGAACTACACTGGCCCTGGATGGAAGTGCCATATCCTCCAGGAGCTGGGTCCTCGGAATCACTGCAAACTCCAGTCCCACATCCCTAGAGCCCAGTGAGGACCTGGATGTCCACATTGTGGCTCTACGGCCCAGGCCCAGTCTGGCTGACTGTGGATAAAGCAGTCACCTGTGCTGTCTGGGCCTTAGTTTTTCCAACTATAAATCAGGAAGATGTTTTTTTGGGTTTCCTTCCCATCACATTAACATCAAAAACACTATGGTGCATTGGTTTTAAAGTTTCCAAAGTCCATTTATGAGGCATATCAGACCTGGCCAGAACTGTCCTCACCCTTCAGGGTTGAGACAGCAGAGGCTCATGGGATTCTGTGATGTCTCCAGGGTCCCACAGCCAGGCAGTAGTGGAACCAGGCTCTAAACACTGGTCTCTTCATATGAGATACTCCCGGGTCTCAATTGTCTGGCTGGAGTTGGGCATGTGCCAAGGGTTGTATGAGGGCATTGGGGACTTACTACCTGAGAAAGATCCCCTTGAGGTTGGGTGTGGAGTCGAAGGCATTGGCAGGCACGGTGCTAATCTTGTTGTTCTGCAGGTACAGGTACTCGAGAGACTTGGGGAGCCCTTCGGGGATCTCCGTGAGCTGATTCCCAGCAATGTCCAGCAGCTGCAGAGGTGACCATGGGAGTCAGGGACTCCCACCTGTGCAAAGCACTTAACAGCTTACAAAACTCCCACCAAACCCCAGCCTATCTAAATCTAATGATAATCCTGTTGAGGAGAGGGGGTCTATGATTATCTTAATTTTCCAGTTGGGAAAATAGAAGTTCAAAGAGGGTAGGTGGTCTAAGGACACACAGCCTGTAAGAGGCTGAAACCTGTTGTGCCTGACTCCAAACCCTTGTTCTAATTGATATAGGCCCTACCCAGCACCTCTGCCTTCACACATGAAGTCATAGCCAAGATATTTGGGTGTCACAGTCCTTAATTCTTTTTAAAAAATATTTATTATTTTTTAGTTTAGTTAGACACATTATCTTTATTTCATTATTATGTGGTGCTGAGGATCGAACCCAGGGCCTCACATGTGCTAGGCGAGCGCTCTACCGCTGAGCCACAATCCCAGCCCCTACAGTCCTTAATTCTTAACATACTTCTCCCATCAGATTAAAGACCTAGGACAGGCAGAGGCCAAGGGTCCTCCAGTCTTTGAATTTTGCTCCACTGGCCCTAGAGGGCACACAAGTGGGTGTTCATTTGTGGACCTCAAGGGCCACATGCACAGGGGTCCTGAGCAAGGGTGTGAGGCCTACAGTGATCCTGGTACAATAGCCAGGATTGTACCAGGCTGGTCAGACTCAGTCATCAAGTGCCAGGAGCCCACAGCCAGGGAAGCGGGAATGGGTTTGCCCAGAAGAGGAACACACCTGCAGTGGGCAGGAGGCTGTGGCATGTGCTGTTGTGGCCACTCTCAATGTCCCTCAGGTTGTTATGAGGGACACTGTACAGCCACAGAGCAGGACCCCATGACCAATAAGCTCCCTTCCTTACCCTGAGGCCAACCTCAGGGTCAAAAACCGGGGCCATGAATCCAGACAGCCAGGCACATTGGCATCAGGATTCCAGGGGAGCAAGAGCTTCACAGATCACCCCTACACACAGGGCTCCTGCTTTCTGCTGTCCCCACAGGTCTCAGTGCCCTCCATGTGTCTCCACTTCAGCCATTTCCTCATGCATCCCAAACATCCTGGGCCTATGGATTCAGGGGACATGAACTCCACTGAGACACTGTGTCCACCTTCAGGAAGCCAGACCAGCTGTACAGATGGGCCCAAACTGAGAAGGACAAGTCAGTGGAATTTGGCTGTGCTGAGGGAGTGTAGGGGGGGCACGGCCCAGCCTCAGGCCAGGGAAAGCTCTCCAGGGTGGGCTCTGAGGCAGCAGGAGCAGCTGCCTGTAGAAAGATCACAGTGTGAGGAAAAGTCCTCTGTCCACCAGACATCCCTGGCTGAGCTCCCCCAGGCTCAGGGAGGCAGCTGACCTGCCATGAGTGGTAGAGGAGAAAGGGGCCTCCTAGAGGAGGCAATGTCCTATTTGAGTCCTAGGTGTGTGCTCCAGGTAGTAGTGGCCCTCTATCTGTCTTAGCCCCCACAGGTCCCCAGTTCTGAAACTCTGTCTGACACACAGTAGGGGCTGCACGTAGGCTGGTGGAACAGATGAAAGTCATGACTGACTAGCTATCACTGGTGGGCAGCATGGAGAGGTACTTCAAGCAGAGGAGCCAATGAGCATTGGGAACAGGGGCAGAGCAGGCCTTGAAGGCCATGGCCAGGAGTCTGTCCTGGGCCCCCAAAAGGCCAAGGGGAGCTGTGGAATCAGGACAGGAGTATGAAAGGACATGTTTTTAAAGATACCCTTGATTGCATATGGAGTACTGAAATGATGAGCTGGGGAGCTGGGCCCCAGGCAAAAAGTACAATGGCCTGGTCTGGAGTGTGGGCAGTGGGGCTGGAGAGAAGTGGACAGACAGAGATACGGTGGTAGCACAGCAGAGTCAGGTGCTGCTAGGCTGCTAGGGAAGTCAGTAGGGCAGAAGGGGATGCCAAGGACAGCTTCTAAGTCCCCCTGGATGGATGTTATCTTGTGATAACATCCTTCAGTGAGTTGGAAAATGCAGCAGGAGGAATGGGCATGGAGGAGAAGACATGGGCTCTGGGTCCTCAAGAATAAGCTCCCGAGGGACAGTCAAGAGGGGCAGCACAGATGATTAGGTGCTGGGGTCTGGTACTCAGCAGGGCAGTCTGGATGAGGTGAGACCCCAGCTGACCTGCAAGATCAGCTGCCTGGCACACCCCACCCTGCTCTGCCTCAGGGCTCCCCCAACCTCTCCCTTGCACTCTGTTCAGACACCCTAGTCCAGATAGCAAGTTCTATAAAGTTGGATCAATTATCTAGTCATCCCTCCCGAGGCAGTGACCAGAAGCCCACGCTTGCTGCTTATTCGGGCTGGAAGGGCCGTCAAGGAGAGCAAGCAGAGGACCTGAGGACTCGGGGGACCAGGCTTATGAAGAAAAACAAAACGAAGGAAGGCCTCCCAAGGAGACAGCACTTGAGCAGAACCCTGAGAAAGAGAGCAGAGGATGTCTTGAGGTGAGGGGACAGCAATTTGGAGGCCCAGAGCCTCCAGGTTGAGGTCTGGTTGTGAAGGGGCTCTGGTATGGCAGTAGGGAGGCTGTGGCCAGTTCAGGGGGGAACCACCCAGCATTTCAGCAACACCCTCCTGGTTCTGCAGTAAAGTTTCATTTTTGCCTATACTTGCTAAGTTGGGAGGGTCCACCTATTACCCAAAAAAGCTCAGTGCATGTGCCCAGACATCACTGACTCTGACCATGTGGCCACAGCAGTCACACTCACTGGCCAACCCCAGAATGCCTTGGGCAGACTCCCCGCCCCTAGCACTCTGCAGTATGGTGAGGTGAGCCCATGACATGGGCAATACCCTCCCAACCCAAGGCCCAGCCTTCTCCAAGAACCCACCACTGTACCTGCAGAGGGATGAGCTGGACTTTCCCAAGCTACCTGAACTGCCTCCAAGTGGTCCTGTGGGCCTCCCACCTGCAGGCATGAGCTCCTACTTCCACAGCCCTTAAACCTCTAACTACCTGTGGTGAGCCTGATCTGGCCATCCTGGACAGACACTTCTGTACTCTGCCCAAAGTGGGCTGGGCTGACCCAGGCACACTAGTCATGTCCTCTGCATGGCCACCTCCCTGTTACCTTAAGGCCCAGCCTCTGCCTCCCTATTCTCCCCAATGGATACCTGAAACTAAATGAGCTCAGTCTGGCTATACCAGAGGATCCTCCCTCACGGCCCAGCCCTCACCATGTCCTACAGACGAATGGGTGCAGGGCAGCCATACCAATAGCACCCCACAGGCATGGCCCAGCCCTCCTCACCTGCAGATGGGCAAGGTCCACCCAAGCGCGGGGACCCAGGGCCCGGCTGCGGAGTCGGTTGCCAGTGAGGTAGAGTTCCCGCAGTTGGGCCATGCCTGCCAGCGCCCCACGTGCCAGGGCAGCCAGCTCATTGCGCTTGACCTTCAGCACGTGCACATTGCGTGGCAGGCCAGGTGGCAGCGTGTGCAAGCGATTGCCCGACAGGTCAAGTGAGCGCAGGAGGCGCAGCTTGCGGAAGGCGTCGCGGTGTATCTGAGGGCTGGTGATGCGGTTGTAGCTGAGGTTGAGCTCCTCCAGGAAGTAGGTGGTAGCGAAGTCCTCGCGGCCGATGCCCGTGATCTGGTTGTGCAGGATCATGAGGGTGCGCACGCGGCGGGGCAGGCCGCTGGGCACGCGCTCCAGGGCGTTGTTATACAGGTGCACGGTGTGCAGCCGCTTGAGGCCCTGGAAGGCCAGCGGGTGGATACCGTCTGCCTGCAGCTGGTTGCTGTGCAGCAGCAGGTACTCAAGGCTGCGGATGGGGGTCAGCACGTCGGCGTCCACACTCCGGATGACGTTCTTCTCCAGGTGCAACAGGACCAAGCTGCGCGGCAGTCCTGCAGGGACCCGCGTCAAGTTGTTGCTGGACAGATCCAGGTACTCTAGGCTGGAGAGCTTCCTGGGGGAAGGAAGGAATTAGAACTAGGCAGGAACCCACATCTGCTTGATCCCACCATTATTCCCAAGGGAGGTGTGGGGGGGCAGGATGGGGGTGGGGTGCTGTCTCTAATTCACCCAAGCATGGGGGTTGGCAGCTCAGTGTAGGAAGGATCTGTGCAAGGTTTTTGATATATGAGAGCTTTGAAGGCCACGGTGGAACCTTATGTTAGCCTTTTGTGGCTACCCTGGGTCCCCCAAAATGAAAATATATTTGCTTTCAATAATAATGTTCAAGTATGTATTTGGTACCAACAAGCCAGTCTCCGCCAACATTCCCTGGACTCCCTGCCACCTTGGCTGCCCTTAGCTGTACACATCAACTCTTCTTGGGGACAGCATTGTCAACTGAGGCACAAACCTTACAGATCCTTCCTTCTCCAGGGAAAGTGTCCAGGGGAGATGGGCAAGGGATGCATGACAGTGCGTGGCTGGGGGTGGGCTCTGGGAGGAGCTTGCTGGGTACAACAGTGAGGCTGAGGATGTGTGAGAGGAGGACCCACCAGAAGGTCTCATTGTCCAGGCCCTCATCAGTCAGGTAGTTGTTCTGCAGATACAGCTCTCGCAGGTTGCTCAGCTCACTGAAGGCCCCAGGGGGGATCTTCTCCAGCTTGTTGTTCTAAAGAGTGGGAAAGTAGGGAGGGAAGAATGGGGGAGATGCAAGGGACAGGGACAGGGCCCCAGGATAAGGTGTAGAGAGGGGACTGTGGAGAGGGGACCACCAAGAGGAGATTCAGAGCATCTGGGTGTGTGCTGACAGCCCCCCACACAACCCACACCAAAGGTCAGGTGCCCAGGTGTCTCCCTGCTTTCCTACAGTGACTTGTTGATCTCTATCATGTGCCCACAGCCCCATAGCCTCAGTTGGCAGTGCTGTGCCCACTGGGCCAGCTCTTCTCCTGCAGGTCCCTGCTCTCATGCCCCAGCTGTGGGTCTGTTCTTCCCCCACTTTGTTCTCTTCCCTCCTTACCTTGAGATGCAGCTTGTACAGGGCAGGTGGCAGGTGCTTGGGCACATGGCGCAGGAAGTTGCTGGACAGGATGAGGATCTCAACATTGCTGGAGCCGTTGAACATGCTGTCCGGCAGCCCTGCATCTGCTAGCTTGTTGTTGTGCAGATACACAGACCTGGGGGCCAAGGCATAGTCTTCACCCCACCTGAGGGGCCCCGAGGCCAACTTCCCAGTGAGGCTTCAAACCTTTGCTGAGACTGGGACCAGGGTCCAGAGTGCTCTCCTCCCATATTAACCCAAGGATGCAGTTAAAGAGCTCAGACCTCACCTACACAGCTTCTGGACCAGGCACCAGAGGGGTCAGCACCCCACCAGGAAGAAATAGGATTTCCTGACCCCCTCCACACCACGCCTGTGCTGGAGGTATTTGCTCCGCCCAAAGCAGCTCCAGTACAGGGCCATTCTGCCTGCTGGAAGGGGCTGCCCTCCATCCTGTCCCCACTATTCCCGAACACAGTGTTCTCACCCCCTGGACACGTCTTCTTCAGCCTCTAGGTCCATCCTTTGGGACCCTGAGCTCCTCCAGTCCTTGGGTGTCCCTCCACCACAGCTCTGAGCATGGCCCTTGATGTGATGCTGCCCCATTACATAGCACATCCCTCTCAGGGTCTTGACTGTGCCTCACATAAGAGAGGCAGCTCTACCTCAGCCCTTCCCTTTGCCCCTGCCAAGTCCAAGACCATCACCCTCTGACCTCAAATTTGGCTTCTGGCCAAAGGTGAGCCCATAGATCTTGGTGAGATAGTTGGCAGCAAAGTCCACGCTGATCAGGGCATTTGGCAGGAATCGAGGTGCCAATGTCAGCTGAAAAGGGAAGAGTCTGTCGGAAAGACCAATAGAGAGCAGAGGCCAGCTCTGGGCCCCATGGCCAGCTATTCATCTGGGTCCCTTCAAAAGTCTCCTCTCTACAACCAACGCCATCTTTCTAAAGTGGAAACCTCTACCCTTCCCCAAAAGAGCAGAACCAAAGTACCTCTGGCTCCCCAGTACTTAGCTTGATGGTCAAGGCTTTGCCTGTCTGCTAGCAATTTCTAATCTGCCCCCCCCCCCATGTCCTCCTGGGCTCATCCTAGTTAGATGGAGGGGTAGAAGTGGACAAGATTTTAAATGTTGCTCTGGCTTCCCTGAGGAGAAAGAGGAGAAGCAAATGAGGCAGAGGAGCATCCAGGGAGGGGTGGTAGACTGGTGCCTGAGAGAGGTTGAGGACCTGCAGAGGGTTGGACGTGGGTGAGGGATGCTCAGGCTCTAGAAGACTCCTGATCTGTGGTCACACCAGTGCTGCTGTGGTGGTTAGAGATGTCCTTCACCCAGATGGGAAGATAGAGGATTAATTTTGGGGCTGGGGGCAAGAAGCAATAGTTCCACTTCCATTAGACACCTAGGGGAGATGTCGAGGAGGCAGGCAGACCTCAGGAGTGGAAAGGGCTGGAGATTGCCATCAGACATGGCCAGATTGCAGATGGAAGTTAGAGCCTTAGAGGAGACAAGAGTGCCTCCAGAGTGTTCAGGGAGAAGAGGCTAGGATAGGCCCTGTGTATTTTGAGATTGGCTCATGCTGGCCCTTTGTTTCTTCTGTTTTGAAATGGGGGTCTCACTATGTTACCCAGGCTAGTCTCAAACTCCTGGACTCAAGTGATACCCGTGTCCGGCTTCCTGAGTGCTGGTACCACAGGTACACACTTCCACACCAGCTACTGACCCTTCTTCTGCAGTGTCCTCCTCAGGGCCTGTAACTGAAATCTGACTACCCTTTATTGCCTCATTTCATCTCCACAACGAAGCCCTCCAGGCACCCTGCAGTGGGTCTCTTTCTTCTATACTCCTGGAGGCTTGGGCTTATCTTCATTATCTGACACTCTGATGTCTTAGGTGGGGTCTGTCTCCCTCGCCTCCTCCAGGGTCATGTGTGAACTGCAAGCTGGACCCAGCAGCCAGCCAGGAAATGGCCTGGTAGAAGTTCATGGAACTTAGCAGAAGACAGCATCGGGAGGGCAGGGCAGTACACCCCACCCTCCGAGGCCCTCACCTTGTTGTTGGCCAGGTACAGGTAGTTGAGGTTGGTCAGATGCTCAAATGCCTCCTCCGGGAGCCCTTCAAAGGACAGGTCAGAGCCCTGGATGAAGGAGACGCTGCAGGGAAGCACGCGAGCCACCCGACCCTGGCCTTACCCACCACTTGCCTGAACAGGGAGATAGGCCAGGCCACTCAGATCCCTTCCCGGTCAGTCCCAACAGGCCTGCCCAGCCCCATTTTCTTTCTCCTTGCTCTCTGGCCCAAGCATAGGAGCAAGCAGTTAAGTGCCTGCTGAGGGACTGAAGGATGAAGTAGCTTGACCCTTTCAGCCAGGAAGGAATGTTCCCCTTGGGATGGCCACAGGTGTCAGAGCCTCTCTTAACACCCAGACCCCTCCACAGGTGGGGGGACAAGCTGGGACAGCTCCGTGTAGGGCAGGACTACCACTTCTGGGTCTTCCAGCCACCTGGCTTGCCCCTGCCCCTCTGACAGATGTTGTGTTGCTGGGAGCCCAGCCAGGCTGGCCCCTCTCCAGCCCTAAGGCCAGACTCCGACACTCAGTTCCAAGCTCCAGGACCCCCAGATGCTGGGACTTGCCCAAGTTTTTAATGAGAGGGAACAGTTACATAAACCGTGGCATGTCCCTCCACGGATACCCTGCTGGTGTAAAAGGCCGGCCAGCAAGAGCTGCAGCAACATGGGGAACACCGCCAGGCGAACTGCTCAGAGAGGCCGATTATCACATCTGAAGTAGGAATTCAGCGATGAATTGAAAAACACTAGGGAAAAAAATGACTGGATTGTGAGATGGTTGGACATCTGCATAAACTTACTAGAACTCGTCAAATTGTACCGTTAAGTTGGGTTCATCTTATGGAATATAAATCACACCTCAATAAGGCTGTTTTAAAATTGGAAAGAAATATACCAAAATGTTGATAGTGATTAATTCAAAGTGGCAGAACTGTACGTGATTTTTCTTTCCACTTTTATTTTCTAAGTTTTCTATCCTAATCACATACCATTTTTGTCATCAGAAAAAAAATAAAGCTTGAGTTACAGCTCTTTGTTTTGTTTTTGACTTAGATTCTAAAGGCCCCTGTGAATGGAAGAGTCTATGATAAGGTCCTGGGAAGCTTGGCTGCTCCAAAGCCCCACCCCAACTCATGTCAGAAAGACCTAAGGCTGGCTTTCAGGCAACATCATGGAGCCCCTGGAACATGAGGAGCCCATCCTCACGCAGCCCCACTACCAACCCAGCCCAGCCTGACTCCTCCACACCCCAGGATCTGCAGGGCCAAGCTTTCCCCATGGATACTCAGCAATGCTCAGGCCCCTGAGTCCCCACCTGGTGTCCCATGGCTCTGGTGACCCCTCACCTCTGGAAGTCAGGCGATTGTTCTGGAGGTTCAGAGTCTCCAGCCGCTGGAGCCGAGAAAGCTCCTCAGGATAGATCTTCTCCAGCTGATTGTTCTAGAAGTGGAAGGGGGCAGTGAGGAAGCAGCATCAGTCTGGAGGGGTGCTGCATGGGACTCCTGTACCTATCCTTAGTCCCAGTCCTGGGAGCCAGTTCCTCTCTTGGGCATCTGTCTTGGCAAACAGAACCTGGGTGCTGGCTCATATGGGCACTGGGGGTACAGCAGTGACCACAGAGATGTGTGAGCCTTTCAAAGGACCCACAGGTATGGGTAGGGATGTAGCTCAGTGGTAGAGCACGTGCCTAGCATGCACTGAGACTCCAATCCCAAGTACGGGGGTGACGGGAAGGAACCCACATGTAGACATCTACAGACAGTTGTTCATGCTTAGTGGGCTATCTGCCCTCTGGACCCACCCCCTGGGTATTTCTACTTGGTGACAGGCATCCATAGCTGTTCCCCAAGCAGAAACCACTATGCTTCCCTTTCTAAGCCCCATGGACCCCTTTCCTCTTGGAACATTATAAAACCTGGGTCATTTACCACCTTCCCTAGCCTTCCTAGGTTGAACTGGGGCTGGATTAGGAGCTTGCTCTGCGCACCACAGTGGGAGTCCTTTTTGTGCAGTTTCTCTGTTTCGGTCTCTACCTTGCCCATGGACTGTGAGCTCCTAAAGGGCAGGGCATGTCCAAGTCCTCTGTGCCCACCATCCCACGCCTGACCGGAGGTGTAGAGCAGGAACCCAAGAGATAGTCTATATGTGAATGAATAAGCGAACCTATGTAAGAGTTGTCCTCTACTTGTCCCTTCTTATTACTGGCTACCCTGGCCCAGGACCCACAGCTGCCAGGACTCTACAAATCTAATCTGCCTTGTACCCTGAATCTAGAGATAGGCAGCATCCCTCATGATCACATCAGCCTCACCTGCAGGGACAGATGGTTGGTGTGCTCAGGCAGGTCCCCGGGGAACTCACGCAGGTCGATGCCACCACAATCCACAACACCCTCCTGGGAGCAGGCACAGTCTCGAGGACAGTCGACAGTAGCTGGGCCAGGCCCTGGCTCCTCGGGGCTTAGGACCAGCACAGGCTCCTCCTCCACAAATTCATTCTCCTCAGGGCTCAGACTGTGGGTGCTGCTTCGGCCAAACATCGGGGCCCTCACTGCGAGCACAGGTCCCAGGTGTAGCTGTGGTGGCAACAGCAGCAGGAGCAGCAGTGCCCTGCTCTGGGCCATGGTACCTGGGGGAGGTGCTGAGTCAGGCTTTCCTTGGTGTCAGGGCTGACTTGGCCTGTTAGATGCACTGGGCACAAGGCTTGGGCCCTCAAAAGACATGACAGGGCCTGCTGTGGCACAAGGCAGGACCCACTCTGGTTCCCGTCCTCGGCACCCTGCTGTCCTGCCACCCTTCCCTCCCCACCCAACCTCCATCAGGGCTGCCCTCTGGAGGCGTGGGGTGAGGTGAAGAGATGAGATGAGATGAGACCCTGTCCTCAGGCAGTTCTGCAAAAGCTTTTACAACTCAGCAGGTTGGGTCTCCCCATCTCACAGAAAAGAAGATGAAGCAGGATCTGAACTTTGCTAAGCCCTTGCTGCCCTGGCACCAGTAGTGTAGGGAGCCACTGTCCCTCCTCCAGCAGCCGCAAGTCATGGTGGTCCAGCATCAGCAGTTGCATCCCAGAGCTTCAGCTAGCCATTCAGGATCTTTGGGACTTGACCCTGCCTCTCCCATAACCATCCCAGTTACACAGAACTCTGAGGTGGATCCTCCCTCCAACCTTTGTACATTGCTGTTCCTTCTACCCAGAATGCCCTTCCCCTCTCTTGTCCAATCAGTAACTTCTTTTCCAAGAACCAGCTCTAAATGCTATGATGAGGGGGAGATTCCAAGATGGTCCAGGGCTTGGTTGACTTGGGTTGTGTCATCACACATGGGGCTGTGAGCAATTCCCAGTGTCTGTTGTAGGCCAAGCATAAAGCCTAGCACAGAGGAGGCCTCAGTGAGGGGAGCTGCTGCTGCTGCCCTGTGACCCCATCCCATTCCTGGTGTTCACACGCTCGGCTGCCCTCACCAGAGCCTAATGGGCTCACATAGTCGTTGCCATACTCAGGAGGTCCCTCCCCAGCATGGTCCCCTGTTGCAGCAAGGAGAGGGTGCAGACTAAGGAAGAAGCTGGAGTGCCACAGTCCCAGCAGTTTCGAGACCTGGGCTTGAGTTAGATCTGGGTTTCTGAGTCACTGGGACAGGAACTCAGAAATGTCAATGCCCCTGGGATGTGGTAAGCTGTGTCAGGTGATAGTCAGGGAACACAGACCCCAGTTTGAGTCCCATCTGCACCATTTAGGGGCTTGGACCTCACTGAGCCACCACTTCCTTATCTGTACCGTGCAGATGATATGTCTAAACACAGGCTTCTATGAGGAGTTAGTAAAATAACAGACACAGAGCCCTGCACTTGTCAGGTGATGAAGAGCTGCCATTGCTATGTACTGAGTGGCACAGCGACTTGCCCCAATAAATGGGCAGGGGGTGCAGGAACAAGTGTCTAGACCTCAGCACATCCAAGCCAAGGGCTGGGTCCCAAGTCTGCTTAGGTCACATGGACCAGTGGGTGAGTCAAGGAGGCCTGGCTGCCCCTCTTTCCTCATGCCTCCTCGGCCTCATCTTCCTCAGGACCCCTTTATGCTCCCACCCCAGTCTGGAGCAACACAGCCACAAACACATGGCCCAGTAAAACGCTCCCATGGCAACATCAGGGTTATAAGGTTCTGACCAGAAATTGGGCCTGGGAGAGTTTGGGAAATGGGGATACAATCACACAGATGGCCAAGTGGGCTTTGTAGGCACACAACCAGGGCTGTCATCTCAGCTCTGGTCCCTAACTGTTGTGTGACTTCAGGCAACTTTTTTTTTTTTGGTACCAAGGATTAAATTCAGGGACACTTGACCTCTGAGCCACATCCCCAGCCCTATTTTTGTATTTTATTTAGAGACAGAGTCTCACTGAGTTGCTTGGCACCTCACCTTTGCTAAGGCTGGCTTTGAATTCGCAATTCTCCCGTCTCAGCCTCCCAAGCCACTGGGATTACAGGCGTGTGCCACCACATCCAGCTTCAGGAAAGTTTTGAAACAGTCTAAACCTTAGCTTCTCATCTGTCTTTGGAATGATATCAGAACTGCCATCATGGGAGACTGAGAGGGTCAGCGAGAGCAACACACTGCACACAGTAAGTGCTCAATCAATGTCAGTTCTTCCTGCCACTACTCATATGCTCCATGGTGTGGTTCACTCCCAGCCACACCACTGCCCACTCCAGAATCCCCTGCTCTTCCCTCCCCTTGTCTAGACCTCACCTGGGCTTTTTGGTCAGACAAGCCCACCTGCTCTCAGAAGATGTTGCCAGCATGCTGGCCATCTACGAAATCCAGCCCTGCAGCTGGCCGCTATGGATTTCAGATACAGCTTTGCAATCCTCATTGGCTCAGCCAATTCTCCAAGGTGAGGCTTGTCTGCACCCAGCCTGGCACTGGGTGCTGGGGACACAGGTGAGGTAGATAAGGTCCTGCCCTTCTTTTGGAGGAAACAATGGACCCCAGTACCAATAACCACTTCCTACCCATATTGAGATGGCAGAGTAAAGGGATCTCTTGGATGACAAGCCCTAGAACGAAAAAACGTGAGGAGAGAGAAGAGCCGGGACTTCTTCACCCATAGGTCCACTTGTCCAGGCAGACTTGGCTCCCAGCCTCCAGGTCAGACAGAGAACAAGGGAGCCCAGCACATACCCAGCTCCTGGGCTCAGTTGGCAGCAGTAAGTGACACCTGTCTGGACCCATGCTCACCCTGCCACCCCTCTGCTGCCCCAGTGCCTTCACCAAATGCCAGTCCACAGACTGCCACTCCCCTGGCACACTATGAACCCTACAGCTGGTTCCACAGCCTTCAGCCCAGGAGCTGCCAGCACTAGACTGAGGCAAGCCTCCCCTCCCTGCTGTCTGACCCCACCACAGACAAGGTCCCTGGGAGAGGGGTGCAGGTCCAAACCTGAGCCCTAAATTCACTCAGGGCAGGAGACCAGGGACAAAGGATCTAGGGGAAGGAGCTCAGGTGCCTCATACCTTGTACATTGACTGGATAGGCTGGTCTTTCTCCCTTATCTTCTGTTTGTATCTAAAAAAAATCTGTAAATTACATCTGTACAAATATTTAATTTATATTAGCATTCTGAACCATACTGAAAATGTTTCCATCACTTCACAGATAGGGGAGCTGAAGTCCATGGGGGTCGGCCATTATAATAGCTGTTAAGTGGTCAAGCTGAGCTCCCAGCCTATGTCTTCAGTGCTGTCTTGTGCTGCTCTGCCTGGGACAAGCCCAGCTGGGTGCAGCCTCCTCCCCTTAAGAGGCTCACACTGTCCCCTCTAGTAGCCACTTGCCACATGTGGCACTTAAAATGTGGCTAGTCCAAATTGAGCTGTGCTGTAAGTATAAAATGTAGTATATGTGGATTTCAAAGATGTAGTAAAAAAATGTAAATATATATAATTTCACATTTATTTTTATACCAATTACACGATAATACTTTGAATATATTAAACAAAATTAAACTTGCCTGTTTCATTTTACTTCTTTAACATGGCTTCTAGGAAATGTTGCATTGCATTTGTGGCTTGTAATTCTATTAGATAATGCTGACCCACAGCGTTATGTGTAAACTGAGTCTGATGATCCCAGTATCTTCAGGGATAGGATGGAGGGACGCTTAAGAGAACATAGGGGACCAGGGGAAGCCTAATCTTGCTAGAGGTGGCTTCCCGGAAGTGAAGCCTGGTCTAGCCATTCTGAAGGATGAATATCAGGCCAATGGAAAATAAGGCAAGGGTGGGGTCAGTGTGTGTGAAGGCCTGGAGCAAGAGAGTCCATGCTGTGCACTAGATCTACAAAGCTCACTAGACTGTCTGGTGACAGGTGGGGACTGGGAGTGATATGGGTGGAGGCAGTGGACACAAGTCTAGGCCAGGTAAGGCCAGGGAGTATGAGCCTTATCTCTGGAAGATGGGCTGTGGAGGGACAGGGGTGTGGCAGGCAGGCTAGGGGTGGCTTGTGAGGCTGTGAATGGCACAGGGGAGAGAAAACAAGCCTACCCTGGGTAGAGAGGGAGGTGCTGGGCTTCAGGGATGGAGAGGAGGGACTGGATTCCATGGAAAGGTAGGAAGAATAGTCATGTCTTGAAGAGTGGTGGCTGCAGTGGCACCTCCTTGTCCTCCACTTTCCAAGCCACCCTCAGGACCATGGAAGCCTGGGCAGCTCCAGCTCTGCTACCTGATTTGCTGTGTGACCTTGGGCACACCACTGACCCATCTGAGTTTCAATTTTCCCATCTATTCTTATAAGAATGTTGAGCAAGGTAAGCCCCAAGGCTCCTTCTGAGTGCCTGGCCACATGGGAAGAGCAGTGGAGAAGCAGACCCCCGGGTCTCCAGGAGCTTCAAGTCTACCTGGGGAGGGACAACTCAAACCCTTAGAGCAGCTTAGTCTATGGCAATCTCTTCCTTGGGTGGAGAACATTAGACATAGGGGAACACAGGTCCTAACCTGACTGCTGTGTGAGCCCAGAGGACTCACTTCACTGCTTTGAGCCTCCATTTACAAGCCGAGGAAACAGAGGGAGCTACTCCCCAGGATTAAATGACAGGATGGGCCCTGCCTGATGCTGGCACCAAGTAGGTCTTCCATACATAGGGTCACTATTACTGAGTAGGTAACTGGCACGTGCTGCCAACCAAACCTCAAGGCCAGAAGTGGGGGTGGGGGTTAATGCAGAACTGGAAAAAGAAGAGGGAAAGGCCAGGGGGCAGATCCTGGGCCCCCAGAACCACCTTTTTCCTCCATTCAAGGTCAGTGAAGTAAATACTCAGTGATCACCTACCTGCTCTGTGCTGAGCCAGACAGCAACATCTTACTGATGCTACCTTCCTAGTTTGCAGGTTCAGAACTCAAACACAAAGGGGACCCCACTGCTGCCCATCCCCGGAAATCTCCTCCTCAAATTCCCCTACTCTGGACAGCCTCTTTTGCTCCCTCCTCTAGGTTAGGGTGCTCCCTGGGTGCTCTCACAGCACCCTGCCAGCTTGGTCCTTGGAAGCTCAGTGGAGCCTCCTGTGACTCCCCAGACATGGAGTGGGTACTCAGGAATATGTTTGTTGAATGAATGAATTTGTGAAGAGCAGAACTGGAAAAGATTTGCAGTATT